ATAGCCTGGCCAGTCGCAGATACCCTCAGGGGTAGATGCGCTGAGGATGCCCCAGCTCCGGCAACCTTCAGAAGGCCGGCTATGGCTGCCGTCCAAAAGCAAGGGTCTCAGGATGCCGCCTCCGCCAACTTGCTTGGCTTCTCCAAATGCTGCGTCGTGAAAATGAACAGCCAAAAGTCCCTAGCAGTCCTACGCTAACCTACTTGTAGATTCTACACTACTCTAGCCTGGGGCCTACGGGTACCGTTTCAGTTAGGGCCTACTCGGCCTTTACGAAACCGGTCCTACTGCTGCACTTAGGGCTCACGGCCACTTAGGGCCGGTAACCACTCAGCCCCTACTGCTGTTAGTCTAAGCTATTTTTAGAACAGCGGGCCGCCCTCAATGCAAAAAAAAAAAAAACACAGCAAAGCACACATCACACACACTGTACAACCTCGCAGTCATTCTCGGCAGTCGAAATCAGCAAGTCATTGTAGGTACCCATGGCCTCCGCCCAATCTCTCTCTCTCTAGTGCTATCCTAGCTATGGTGCCCAGCGCTGAAGACTACAGGTACCTACTGGCGCCCAGCGCAGCGCTGAAGACTAAGGTACCTACTGGCGCCCAGCGCTGAAGACTAAGGCTAACACTACTACTACTCCTGCAGCGCTCCCTCCAGAGTGCTGCTGCCGAATCCTAAAGACTATTGCCTCCTGCCTGCCTGTAAAGTGCATCGGAAGTCCCTATGTACTACCTCGGCCTGCCTCCTGACTGCCTGCAGGGCGAGCCAGGCCGAGGAGGCTGCTCTTGGCAATGCCGAAGTGTGCCAGGGGCTGGAGCTGCAGCATCTGCTGAGGCTGACCGAAAATGGGCCTTCGTTTCAGGCTAAAAAGGCTGCTGCCATTTTTAGTCAGAAACTGTAGGCCGCTGTTTTCCAGGCTTTCGAGCTGGTTGGTCACGGGGCCTGTAGGCCCTGGTTTTCAGGCTTTCAGCCTGAATTTCAGGCTTTCGGCCTGAGGGACGCAAGGTCTGGAAAATGGCCCTCGTGTGCAGGCACAACATGTAACACCCCCCCCCCCCTCCTTATGAAGTCAAGTCGGGGCGAGGGCGAAGCCGACGATCTGAAGGTGGAACCTGGATGCGGGCGTGGGGTGGAGCCGAAGAGACCGGCTTGCCTTGCATCTTGCGTTCGTAGCGTGCGAGAACGTCTGGAGCTGTTGCTTGAAGTTCCGCACGGGTCAACCAGCGGTCAACTCGGTGTGTGCAGTATGCAAAATGCACCAAATATTCGGTTGGCCTGTTGCCGTAGCGTCGCCGGGAGATGATGTCGCCGACCTCCTGAAAAACGTCCATAGAGGGTGGGTCTTGTGAACGTCTCCCGGGAAAATCGTCATGTTCCGCTTGCGTGTAAAGAGCCAACTTGGAGCAATGAAAGACTGGGTAGACGGGCAAGTGGGCGGGCACCTGAATCGTGAAGGAAGGTCCCTCGGGTGCGTCTCCAGCAGGTGCTACGATTGGCCAAGGCCCCATCCATTTCGGGAGGAGCTTGCGAGAGATGTCTTGTTCAAGGCTGAATTCCGCGGCGGAGACCGAAACGAGATCGCCGGCGTGGAATGGGCAGGAAAGACGTTGGCGATTGGCTTGCTGGCTCATGCGTTGCTGCGTCTTGGCCATCTGGTCGCATGCCTTGACAATAGCTCTTGCATCCGACGCAAGAAAAGAAGGTGGTCGTCGCTCTCGGCCGTTCGTAGCGTGGTGGTGTCCAACGACGAAGTGACCGGCGAGCCGTGCTCGAACTCGAAAGGCGATATCCCGATAGCCAGGTGGATGGAACAGTTGTAGGCCAACTCGACATCCGACAGCCGCTCAACCCTGTCCTTCTGGTCAGGACGGATGAGAGTGCGAAGGAGAACCTGTGCGGTCTGGTGCGCCCGTTCCGTTTGGCCATCGGTCTGAGGGTGGTGAGCTGAATTGGGCTTGAGAGATGAGCCCCATCGCTTGATGAGCGCCAACCAAAAATCGGACATGAACCGAGTGTCGCAGTCGCAGATGATTTCCTTGGGGTAACCCTTGGTTCAAATCCAACCGGCGTAGAGAACCTCGGCCAACTCCGGTGCCTTGGCATGATAGCGACAAGGCAAAAACATGGCGAACTTGGTGAGCCGGTCGACCACCATGAGAATCCCATCCACTCTAGTCTTGTGCTTGGGGAACGGGCCGGTAATGTCCATGGCAATCACTTCCCTTTGCCTCAATGGGACGGGTAATGGTCGTAACTCGTCGTACGGATGATGGTTGCAGGATTTGCAGTGTCGGCAAACCTCGCATGACTCGCAATAGCGTGCGACGTCGCCGAGAAGGGCGGGCCATCAAAATCACTCGTGAAGTCGGCCAATCGTGCGATTGACTCCAAAGTGTCCGATGGCGGGAGCATCGTGGAACTCGCCAAGAAGCCGTATACGCAAGTGAGGATCACTCGGTATGCAAAGAAGGTCTTTCCCCCGCGTGTGGACAAGCAAGTACCCCTCTTGGATCCGGTAGTGAGAAGGCGTCGGATTAGGAGAGGAGCAATTCGTGTACTTGTCACGAAACTCAGGTCGGCTTGGTAGCCGCGGATGAAGTTGTTTCATAGGTCGTCGTCGATCTCGAAGGTTAAGTAGACTGCAGTACAATGATCCGGACGCCGTGAAAGAGCATCTACAAAACGGTTCGACTTCCCCGGAATGTGATCGGGAAAGAAGTCGAACAGGTCGATGAAAGCCATCCATCGAGCGATGGTGCTGGTGACGATGTCTTGGGTCTTAAAGAAGACCAACGAATTGTTGTCCGTTACCGATCGGAATCGGCTTCGACCAAGGAGGAAGTGCGGCCACCGTTTGAGCGCGTGGACGAGGGCAAGGAGCTCCTTGCGTGCATCGTCAATGGAGTGCACGACCGATACTTTCTTGCCGAAATACTAGACCGGGTGCCAGTCCACGCCATCGTGTTGCTCGAGGACGGCACCAATGCCATAGCCGGATGCATCCGTTGTGACGCACGTAGGCAAAAGCGGGTCGTATATGCGCAAGACCTCCGCAGATAATAGAGTGGCTTTGAGAGCCAAGAGTGATTCCCACGCTTCCTTTTCGAAGTCAAACGGCCGATCCTCGCATCGAAGCTTGGTCAAGTGGGCCGAAATCTTCGAGTAGCCTTTGATGAAACGCTGATAGTAGCCGGCGAGGCCAAGGAACGAACGGACATCCGTGACGTTCCGAGGCTCCGGCCACTCTTGGGTGGCTTGAATCTTGTCCGATAGCGGACTGATGCCCTCCGGTGTGATAAAATGGCCCAAGTATTCCAACTCTTGCCGGACAAATTCGCACTTGTCGTGGTTGGCCTTGTACTTGGCGCGGCAGAGCGTCTCCAACACTCGTCGAAGATGCCCAAGATGATCCTCCAATGTCTGGCTATAGACGAGAATATCGTCTAAGTAGACGAGCACGAACTGGTCCAACATTGCATGGAACTCATCGGTCATTGCTGCTTGAAAGGTCGTCGGGGTGTTGGTGAGGCCAAAAGGCATGACCACCCACTCAAAATGCCCGTACCGCGTCTTGAACGCAGATTTGTAGCGATCATTCGACAGGATCGAGATTTGATGATATCCCGATTTCAAATCCAACTTAGAAAAATTCTTTGTGCCGCCCAATCGCTCAAGAAGATCGTCGATGCAAGGAAGAGGCCCCGCATTCTTGACGGTTTGTGCGTTGAGCTTGTGGTAGTCGATACACAATCGTAGATCCTTGTTCTTCTTCCGGACGAAGAGAACAGGTGCTCCATATGGGGAGCTACAAGGGCGGATCCAGCCCTTGGCCAACACGTCGTCGAGTTGTGCGCAGAGGACCTCAAGCTCCTCCTCGCTCATCTGATAGATGCAACCTTTCGGCGGCACGGCGCCGGCCTCAAGAATGATCTCGTGAGAGATCGGCCGATCCGGCACCACACCGGTAGGTGACTCGAAGATGTCGGCGAACTTGTCCAGCAACCGCACCACCCTGGGGTCCGAAGACAAGTCCGTGCGTGAAGAGTCGGCTACCACGACGGTGTCGGGACCGGTGGGTCCCGAGATAAGTCTTGTACATTGAGAGGCGGTATGCCGCAGAATTGTGCACGGCAGAGAAAACCGGAGGCAAGAAAGGTAGAAAGGTTAAGGGTAGTGGTACCAGCACTTAAGGGCTTAAAGGCTGCCCTGGGTCGCCAGGACCGCTGGACCAAGGAGAGACTGGTGGAACGGCGAGCGACAAGAGACCGTAAGAAATTAGCAAAGGCGGTCGTTCCCCCGAAAACGAGGACCGCCGGGGAAAGTGGCGTCATAGGTTGCACGCTGCAGGGAGAAAAGAATTGAAAAGAAAATAATAAGGTGCCAGCGCGTGAGGATGTAGCCTGGGCCAAGAGGGTTGCCGGAATGCGGCATCAAGAAGGCCAAGGGGGCTATGGGCCAAGTAAAGAGCCACAACTGGCCCGACCGTTGCTGCCCTGCTGGCCGCTGCTTGCCGGCGGCGGGGGGGGTTAAATAGCTGGCACACACCTTTTCAACAGCAGCGTGCCACACTACAAAGCCATACACACAGACTGCCACAGTATGGGGAGTGTGTTACAGCAGCAGCTACGCACGCGCAAGCCCAACAGCTGTCGGGGTTCAAACCCCGACAGAGGCAAGATCCCGGATCTTGACAATATAATCCGGGAGCGGAGAGGGGCGGGGCGGGGCAGTGGGGCAGCGTGGCACGCGTTCGTGCGATGACCTTGGCCTTGGCACTTGCGCTCACGCGTCGTGATGACAAATCCTTTTTCTGCCACGTGTCGCTCTCCTGCTGCACCTTTTCTTTCGTTTTTTTTCTTCCCTCGTTTTCGTCGAAAACCGCCCGAAAAACAGTCAAGACAAATCCTTTTTCCGCCACGTGCCGCTCTCCTGCTGCACCTTTTCTTTATTTCTTTTTCTTCCCTCGTTTTCATCAAAAACCGTCCGAAAAATAGTCAAAAACTGTGCTGTCGGGTTTTGCTGTTTTCCCTACTGTGCGGGGTGGTGGGTGGGAGCGGGGAACGTTCCCGCTCCGATACCAGTGTGGCGGACCCACCAGGTGTGGTGCTCCGCCTAGGACAGAGATGGAGATGGAGGATGAAGGGGGAGCGAGATGGCACAGCGCAGCTCCCACGTGAGACTTCAACGCACGTACTCCAAGATGTGCGAATGTAGAACGATCCGGAAAACAGACAACAACTGGGGTATACCCCAGCGGACTGACAGGACTGGACTGGACTGGCTGGTACCAACAGAGGTACTGGCCTGGACTGGACTACCCCGAATACAACGCAGGTCTGTGAGAAGAGGCCAAGGGGCTGGTCTCACAGGCCAACCAGAGGTCGGCTACAAAACGAAATGCTAATATCATAAATTTTCAGATAAAACGAAATGCTATTATTGTAATGAACCCAGATCGAGAGACAGTTGTCAACAATCCAAGTCCAGATAAATGTTCATTGGCTGATGATTACTAATAATAAAAAATCGTGACCAGACAGAATGAGGTGAGATATCATACACAGACGAAGAGAGAGGAGGGAGAAGAGACCTGATTCGGGCTCCCTCCTCCACTGCCACCTCAACAATCAATAGTTTGAACAAGTATCCGAGTATCCTCGATGTGCCACGTGGCACGTCTAATCAGTTCCACATCAGCATCTGGAGCAATATCGACATGAAGACCACCAGGTATGTATCCTCGAACTCCCCACAGCCCTGATCTCCTCCTGAAGTGACGACATACAGAACAACAATGTCGCTTACGTAGTCCTCTCAACAGAACACGTGGCAGCAGCCACGTCAGCCAAATAATACACGTGGCAGCGGCCACATCAGCAAAGGCGCATGGCAGCTGCCACGCCAGCATGCCAAGAAGACAGGAGCAAGTCGGCCACCATGCCGGACTAGCAGCGCCTCCCAAGTCACAATGCCAACAGCGTCGAGCCAGCATCGCAGCGTCAAGCCAGCGTCGAAGTCAATGCGTGAAGTCAGCATCAACGCAAGACAGAATGAATATCAAAGCCAGGAAGTCAACTCTTATGTAGTGTTGACGTGGGGTCTGGACCCCGACTGCTGTATCCCTCGGCCGTCCAGATCTCAATGCGAATGAGGGCTCAGATCGGCCTGAAACCGAATTCCTTCCGTCCTGGATGCTGTCTGGGTACCTGCGCACAACAAGTGAGTGTATCCAACCCAGGGCCTGGGTGCAGTATCTTTGACTCTACAGTTGACTTTGACTCTTGAATTTCCTGTGTGCAGCGTTCGGTCACACAGCCACACTCGACAGACTCAGGCCTGGGCGTGTCTTGGTCACACAGCCCAGCGCATACCTTCTCAGGTCTGCATGGCCTGGGGCTGAGTTCTGGGCCCCAGGCTACTTCTGAACAGGGTTATTACATTCCTGCCGACCCATTTTCGAGTTCCACCACAGAAATATTTACGACTTTAACCCTCGTTCATAAGCAGCGACAATATCAGGAGCAGTTTCAAGTAGTTCTCGTTTGCTAAACCATCTGTCCTCAGATGGTGCTTGAGTTCTAAAACGTACCTTGAACTGCTTCTGAGGTCGTCCACGTCCTCACGTAGAGAAGTAGCCATGCTCTATGATCCGGTCAACCTCGTATCCGCCATCCATATCTGGTGGAATCATAGAGGGTCTGTGTGGAAACTCATTTCCTTCTACGTAAGGCAACAATTTGGATGCATGAAAGACAGGATATGTTTTGAGATGAGGGGGAATATCAACTCAATAACACGGTCCCTCTGCATCTCCAATTACCTTGAGAAATTCCAGGGTCCAAAATAGACAGGTAGCAATTTCTGGGAGACGTCTTCTTCTAGTGAAAACTCTTTAGATTTTACCCAAACCAAATCACCTTCTTTGAATGTAGACGGTCAACGGTGCTTGTTGGCTTGTTCAATCATTCGTAGTTGAGCTTTCCTTAGATTATCTTTAACTTTCTGAATGTCTTCCTGAAACAAGATTGCATATCCTCGGGTCCCAGGGGGCAACCTAAGAAACTGATCCCGGTTCAGTACATCAATGGGACGTTTAGGCTTCCACCCTTTGTGAAGTGCATTTGGGGTTCATCCAGTAGACATGTGGATACTATTGTTATATGCACTTGCAATCTTAGGTAAGTTCTCGTCCCAATCAATCTGATCGGGTCTAATATACATACGCAAAAGTTGTTGGTACAGACGGTTCATCTGTTCAGTCTGGCCATTCGTTTCGGGATGCCTCCCTTCCATCAGCTTTCGCCATGGAAAACTGGTGAACCTGGCATCTCGATCAGACACAATGGTTCTAAGAAACCCATACTCAGCGCATCTGGAATTTCTGAATGACATGTTCGGTACGCTCTTCTGCTGGTAAGGGAACAAACATAGCATATTTAAAGAAACGATCCACAATTACCATTACTTGACTGTTACCATTGCGACTCTTAACCAGACTCATGAAATCAATTGAGATAGACTTATCTGGTTCGCTTGGTATAGGTAGTGGCTTGAGAAGTCCCAGGGGATTCTCGTGCGACGGCTTATTTCTCTGACACACTAAACAAGTACGAACATACGTTAGTACATCTTCTTTAAGTCCCTTCCATTCGAAACGTTCTTTGACTTCAGCGTATGTTTTCTTGAAACCAAAGTGACCGTAAGAATCGTGACACTCCCCGATCAATACACTCTTTCTCTCTTCCTTATGAGTAATACACAGTCTTTGTTCGGTTTGGTCAATCAAGAACAACAATCCATCAGTCATTCTATAGTGGGGTAGTTGGGAGGGATCTCGTTCAAGGATATCCATAATTGGTTTCCAGATAGGATCAGTAACATATCCTTGGCGAATTTGGTCTTTCAGGTCATTCCCAACATCCAAGTAAGAGACAATTTTGCACCAAAGAAGTCACTCCGTCTGGACAATGCATCTGCAACCACATTAGACTTCCCTTTGATTGTTTTCAACTCAAAATCAAAAGGATCAATGAATGCAGACCATCGAACCAGCTTATCAGAGAGCCTCAACTGTGTATTTATCCACTTCAGGGTGGAGTGGTCTGAGTACACAGTGAAGTGCCTCCCTAACAAGTAGTGCTTCCAAATGTTTAGTGCATAGACTAAGGCATACAACTCCCTTTCATAGGTGGAGTTGGCAACCTTTTCAGACGACAGTCGCGCAGACATAAACTCTATGGGCCTATAGCCCTTACCGTCATCTTGTTGTAGAACAACGCCAATCCCATACCGACTTGCATCAGTAGTGACAATGAAAGGCACAAATGGGTCAACAATCTTAAGGACGGGGTAGTGAGTCAGGACATACTTCAGTTTCCGAAAGGAAGACTCACAATCCTTATCCCACAAACAGATAGTTTTTTTTTTTAACAATCTTCGCATTGGTGCAACAATCAATGAGAAGTTTCCGATAAACTTCCTGTAATAACTGGCTAAACCAAGGAAAGATCGCAATTCCGTTAAAGACTTAGGTTGTGGCCAATCTCTAATTGCTGAAATCTTTTTCCCTTCCGGCCTTAAACCTTCTTCGTTTACTATGTGTCCTAAGTATAACACTTCAGACTTAGCAAACTCAGACTTCTAAGGATTGATCTTGAAGTTGCCCTCACGCAACTTCCCTAGCACCAGACGAAGGTGCTTCTCATGATCCTCTAGTGTTTTACTATACACTAGAATATCATCGAGATAGACAATAACAAACTTATCCAACCACTAACGAAACAAGTCATTCATTGACCTTTGAAACGTAGCAGGGGCATTCGTTAATCCGAAGGGCATTACCACGAACTCGTAGTGGCCATACCTAGTCCGGAAAGCGGTCTTATGCTGATCGGAGAGTTCCACCTCAATCTGGTGATATCCAGATTTCAAGTCGATCTTGCTAAAGTACCTGCATCCCTGTAACTGGTCAAGTAAGTCGTCAATGCGAGGAAGTGGTTCAACATTC